AGCAGCCTGGAGATTACCTGGGAGGGCCTGATGTGGAGCGGCAGCAGGGGTCAGGCCCCCCTGCAGTTACCACAGTGGTGGGAGCCACAGGAAGCAGAGAGACACAGGGGTTCCAGCCAGGTAAGTCACTCCGCTTCACCTTAGCAACATGAGCTCAGAGGAGCAAAACTGAGAGAGCCAAAGTGCTCCACAGCAGAGCAATCTAGATGGGAGATGGGCAATGGAGCAGAGCAGGCTGTAAGGTTGTTTCACTTCCCATGACTCCTGCTGCCATAATGACTGGGTTACTATCCAAGCGCATAGCTTATAGGAAACACTGAATAGAACCCAAGGTCTTTGGGCTCAACATTCCTCCATTGTCAGTGAAATCTACTGATGAAATATGTGTTCATTCCCCATTAGTGCTAACTCATATAAAGGAAGACAACACACTATTTCTATTATAGCTCAGTTAGCTCAAGTGGCAAAGGCATATGGGGTGGATCTAAAGTTTCCAATCCTGCTGATGTGGTTGTCAACATGATGTCACACAATGGAATTTCAATTTTTTCATTATGCTTTTTATAAAAATATAGAAATTACACACAAATTCTCCTGATCATCTTAATTTGCCCCCCCTTGTGTTTATGCCTTGCAATACCATTTTAAATAACATACTCACATACGATTTTTTTCCACAGGACTCCTGCTTTATTCTGTGTATAGAATGGTCTTGATGCAAGGATGAATCAGGATTATGTAATAAATGAGGTTGTTGCTTGTAGGGCCTTGCCTCATTTGTTGTAGAATTTGAAGGGTATATGGTGAATGAGGCAGGCATAAAGGGAAGCAAAAGGGTAGTTTCATGACTAATATTATCCCTGCCTCTGCCACAGAAGTTCTGTGTGATGTTAAGTAAGTCATTTAATTCAAGCTTTTCAGAGGTGGTAATTCTCTGTGCTCATTTGCTGCATGCCAGACTTAATATCCTGAGGTTTGACTTGCTGCATTTGCAGAAATGCTGAGTATTCACAAATTCAACTGCAGTCATTTGAATGCTTTGCTTCAAAGTGCCATATAATGTGAAGCACTCTGAAAACTCAAGTCTTAGGTGTCTCAAATAGGGCACTCAAAATTAGCAGATGTATCTCTCTGTGCCTCAGTTCCCCATCTGTAAAATGGAGATACTACCCCCTCACCTTCAAGGAATGCTGTGAAGATAAATTAACTGTGGAGCACTCAGCTACTATTCTGAAAAATACCATTAAAAAGGTCATGCAGAGGAAATTAATAATTGATCTTCATAACAGTGTTTGAATAGTTTGCAGTAGATAAGGCCCAGGAGAACATGCTGAATAGTAATGAAAAAAAATATTGACTAGCACCTCACACAAGGTACGTCTACATTGCATGCTTATTTTGAAATAAGCTATTTTGGAAGAAACACTCTGAAATAGCTTATTTAGAAATAGCACGTCTACACTACAGAGAAGCCTCAAAATTAGTCAGAGGCAGGCTTCCCTAATGTGGACATACTCACTTGATTTAGAGACCCAGCAGGCACTGGGGAGTAATTACTGTGAATGACCCTGGGGAGGAGCTATTTCAAAATAGCAGCAGTAGAGCATCCACACTACTGCTATTCTGAAATAGTTATTTTGGAATCATAGAATACTAGAACTGGAAGGGACCTTGAGAGGTCATCAAGTCCAGTCCCCTGCCCTCATAGCAGGACCAAACACGGTCTCTAGACCATCCCTGATAGATATCTATTCAGCATGCTTTTAAATATCTCCAGAGATGGAGATTCCACAACTTCCCTGGGCATTTTATTTCAGTGTTTAAGCACCCTGATAGTAAGTTTTTCCTAATGTTCAACCTAAACCTCCCTTGCTTCAGTTTAAAACTGTTGCCTCAGAAACCTCAGAGGCCAAGGAGAACAATTTGTCTCCCTCCTCCTTGTGACACCCTTTTAGATACTTTAAAAGTGCTATCATGTCCCCTCTCAGTTTTCTCCTTTCCAAATTAAACAAGTCCAATTCTTCCAGTCTTCCCTTGTAGCTCATGTTCTCTAGACCTTTAATCATTCTTGTTGTTCTTCTCCAATTTCTCCATATCTTTCTTGAATTGTGGTGCCTAGAACTGGACACAACTGAGGCCTAATCAGTGGAGAGTAGAGTGGAAGAATGACTTCTCGTGTCTTGCTCACAACACTCCTGTTAATGCATCCCAGAATCATGTTTGCCTTTTTGGCAACAGTGTCACATTGTTGACTCATATTTAGCTTGTGGTCCACTATGACCCCTAGATTCCATTCTGCAATACTCCTTCCTAGACAGTCACTTCCCATTCTGTATGTGTAAAATGGATAGTTTATCCCTAAGTGTAGTACTTTGCATTTGGCCTTATTGAACTTCATCCTATTTACCTCAGACCATTTCTCCAATTTGTCCAGATAATTTTGAATTATGACCCTATCCTCCAAAGCAACTCTTCCCAGCTGCAGCCCTCCCAGCTTGGTATCATCTACAAACATAATAAACGAACTCTCTATGCCAATATCTAAATAGTTGATAAAGACATTGAACAGAACCCATCCCCCAAAAGACCCCTGCGGAACCCCACCTGTTATGCCCTTCCAGGATGAATGTGAACCATTAATAACTACTTTCTGAAAAAGTTATCTGGCCAGTTATGCACCCACCTTATAGTAGTCCTATTTAAGTTTTATTTGCCTAGTTTATTGATAGTAAGATCATGTGAGACCGTCTCAAATGCCTTACTAAAGTCTAGGTATACCTCATCCACTGCTTCTCCTTCATCCACAAGACTCGTGATCCTATCAAAGAAAGCTATCAGATTAGTCTGACATGATTTGCTTTTTACAAATCCATGCTGGCTGTTACCTATCGCCTTATTTTCTTCCAGATATTTGCAGATGAATTTGTTAATTACTTGATCCTTTATATTTCCTGGCATAGAAGTTAAACTGACTGGTCTGTAATTTCCTGAGTTGTCCTTATTTTCCTTTTAATAGGTGGGCACTATATTTGCCCTTTTCCAGTCTTCTGAAATCTCTCCATGAATTTTCAAAGATGATAGCAAAAGGCTCAGATACCTCCTCCATCTCCTTCTTGAGTATTCTAGGATGCATTTCATCAGACTCTGGTGACTTGCAGACATTTAACTTTTCTAAGTAATTTTTAATGTGTTCTATTTTATTTTATCTTCTAAACCTACCCCATTTCCACTAGCATTCATTATGTTAGGCATTCCTTCATCATCAGTTTTCTTGGTGAAGACCAAAACAAAGAAGTCATTAAGCACCTCTGCCATTTCCAAGTTTCCTCTCCCTTTTCACTGAGTAACAGGCCTACTCTGTCCTTGATCTTCCTCTTGCTTCTAATATATTTATAGAATGTCTTCTTGTTACCCTTTATGTCTCTAGCTAGTTTGTGTTTGCTATTCTTCATGGAATAGGTGTTATTCCTCATGGAATAGGCACTATTCCTCATAGAATGAGGTTTACTGAACTTGGAATAAGCCATCCATTATTTCAAATTTAATTCAAAATAACAGAATTGCTGTGTAGACACTCGCATTGTTATTTTGGAATAACGGCTGTGATTCTGAAATAACGCTGCTGTCTAGATGCACCCTCAGTGAGCATCATCTATCCTGTGTACTGAATGAAGAAAAAGGTCCTGTAAGAAAAACAGTATGTGATCATATAATTAAAACTGTATTATTATGCATATTCACAAGAGAACTAAATTGATGTTTCACAGTGAAATGTCTCCCTGCCAATATATTGCAGTCCTTTAGAAGTCACCTACCATATTGCTGCAGAACTCATGCATTTTAACATCTGATCTTGAATTTTCGAATGTAATGCTCTTCATGATCAGAGCACACCTCAGGCCTCCATCTTGCTATTTTCCCAAATCACCTCTTCACCTCAACTCTTCCATTTTCCTACTCTCCCATCCTACAGAGACTGCTTCTTCCTCACTCCATCATCCACTGCTCCAGTCCCAGCACAACTACTCATCCTCGCTCTCCAGCCTCATCAATTCTACAGCATACAGCTGGACTTCTTCCCTGCTACACAACTCATCTCCTCCACATCCTCTTATATGTACCGTTCGCTGCTTACACTCTTGTATTCTTCCATCTCTGGGCATCCACCCGTCTTTTAAGAGTATGTCAACCACAAAACACAGGTACCTGCACACATCCCTTCCCCCTGTTGCCTTACTGATCCCAATTTTCCATTCCCCCTGGCTGCAGCGGAGGTGGTGGGTCTGAGCTAAGGGCACAGTAAGAGCAATAACAGTTTCACTTTCCCATAACCCTAGGGCAGACATGTACCTTGCAGTTTTGCACTGAGGGTGCAGTAGTGGTAGCAAAGGGGAGGAGGATGAGAAGATGTCCATTGCCTTTGTGAGACAGGGCAAGGAGCACACTGCAGATGGCATGGCCAGTTCCAGGCAGGAGACAGGGTGGGGCCAGCTGGGGGCTGCTGATAATTCCTGAACACAAACAGCCTAAACAAACAGGTTGAAGGACCACCCGGCAGCTGAGCGGAATGGAGCACTAGGGGTCGCCGCCTTTCTCCACACCCTTCCCCACACCATCGCCCCCCATCCCTGGCTGAACAAGGAGAATGCAACTGCGGGCGGGTGTTGCATAGTTTCCTCTGCGTCAAGGGAGGTGCGGCTCCACTCCCTCCCCCCTTCCTCTCCCCCCCCAGCCCTGCCTTCCCTCCTTCCACCGCTCCCCACCCCCTCGGATATTTTTTGTCCGCCTTTAAGCCGCCTCTGCATAGGACAGCTGGGCATATGTGCGCCAGCATCTCGGCTCCGTCACGCTCATTCATTCACTCCAAGCACCCAGCCTCTGCTGCAGGGCCTCGCTCCGGGGGCCGCCCCACAGGAAAGGTAGGTGAGGCGGCCGCACCGCCAGGCAGGGGGGGATGGCGGAGGTGGGTGGAGGGCTGGCCGGGAAGCGGCAGCCGCCTCTGCATAGGACAGCTGGGCATATGTGCGCCAGCATCTCGGCTCCGTCACGCTCATTCATTCACTCCAAGCACCCAGCCTCTGCTGCAGGGCCTCGCTCCGGGGGCCGCCCCACAGGAAAGGTAGGTGAGGCGGCCGCACCGCCAGGCAGGGGGGGATGGCGGAGGTGGGTGGAGGGCTGGCCGGGAAGCGGCAGGAGTCGCCATAAGATGCTGGAGGCTTTAGCCCTCCCGAGGCAGCGGTGCTTTAGTGTGCGCTCGTCAGCTGGACTTGGGGGGCTGAGCGGCGGAGGGAGGGGGGGGGGAGAAACACATGGTTGGGAGCCACGGTTTGTCTTGTAGATTAGTGCCAGTGGCGGGGTTTGTGGACTGTAACGAGAGATCCCCCCCCCCCACTCCTGCTGCTTGTCTATAGACAAGGGGGGGGGGGCCTTCCCTCCCGGCGTTTCCTCCGTTGCGGACACCAGGAGCATTGCCACAGACTCATCAATCCCAAGGAGATACCCCTGGCTGGATTGAAAGTCGCCTGGTCGGTGGGAAAGTCGCCTGTCGTTGCCCTTGGGGAGACAGTAGTACGGCCAGATGGAAGGGGGCGCCGCGTGCTTTGTTTCAGTGGGGGGCGGCTTTTTGTTTCTCTTTTGGCGGGGAGTTCCTTTCCCTCGTGTGAACGGACCCAAAGCGTTTCCTTCGGGTCCTGCCGGCTTCAAAACGCCTGGGTCGCCTGCGCGTGTCTCCAGCTCGGGGAAGGACCATGGCATCTGGAGACATACGTTTCTGGATGTAGCTATTTCGGTGGCTCCAAGGCGTATTAGCAGGGAACTGCCTGATCTTAATCAGGGATGAAAGGATGAATAGCGCCGGTCGCGCTTGTAGCGGTTCCCAAATCGGAATCTCTCTAATTCCGGACTGCGACTGGAGGAGAGATTAGGGAAATAACCTCAGAAGGCAGGATCTGCTCAGAGGAGGCGATTGTCACATTAGTTTGGAGATCGGGGTCTGGGGCCAGGATCTGAGCTCGTTTTAGCAGTGGAAAGGAAGAGGTCCGGATGCTGTCTCATTCTATGTAGCCATGCAGCTAGTGATCCGGCTGGTGCGTGCTCCCTCTTCCCCCGCCTTCCGTAACCCAGTCTGGCTGGAGTAACTCGGGGGAAGGCACCAGGCTTGGTCTTCTGTGATGACAGCCATGTTTGGGTGGCTATGTTAATGAGGATCTCTCCTCAATTTTTTTTGGTCTTAGATTCCTCCCCCGTCCCTCCCCCCCGCATTTTAAGGTTCATACATCCTTTCCAGCGCACATATACACAAATATATTCTAAGGGAGAGGAGAGATTCAGGCCCATCATTTTCATGCTGTGATTGGACTCTGCGGCTCTTGGATTCCTTTGATAATCCTCCTTATTGCCTACATGCTCCTGTAATGTTTTCCTTTTGGGGCTGCTAGTATGAGCATGAATTGCCAGCCATGCAGTGAGGTTTCGCATTTCTCTGTCTTGCTTGGATTTGATAGAGGACGCACATAGGGTTAATAGATATCATGCCATGATGCGCATAGGGATGCAAAGGAATGTAGATTTCAGTTGCTCCGAATTTAATTGTATGTGTTAAATGTTAAATCACGTCTTCTATTACTGTGGGAATCAGCCATTTTAGATTATCTGGTATTTAGTATTGCTACATATCAGTTGCGGTGGGTGTAGGAGCTTTGGTATAGGAGAGAGCCTATTTTCAAAACACAAGTCTTCAAAACACTGTCTTTCAAACATAGTCTTTTAGGAGGCAATCATTACTTTTAATAGAGGATAAAAATGCTGTTTTCTTTTGTTTTCTTTTTCCCTCAAAAATGCAAAAATCAGCATGCTGAACAATAATGATTTTCTGAGAGTCAGGTGTTACATCAGACATTAAGCCTGTGCTAAGATATGTTCTCCAGACAACTTTCTCGCTTTGATAAAAATGACAAAAGCTCCTCATGGTCCTTGTGTTTCAACTTTCAAGACATCTATTTGTATTGGGTTTTTTTTTATTAGAAAGGAAATTTAGTTAACTAAATGTTAGGATACCCAAATCAGGATTTCTCCATTTTGGATTTCTTAGCCATTATAGAAGTCTTGAATTTATAAATGGGAGCAGTTAAGAAAACATCTTCTTGCATACAGACTGCTCCCTAGAAGGTCAATACTACACTCTAACTACAAGGGGAGGGCAACTTCCTGTTGATTTTGATCTTAGAATTCAGAATTGGATTCTTTCATAGAGGTTCACATGTGCCAGCAGCAGTGAAAGTAAGAAGTTGCTGATGCAATTCAAGTTGCTTTTGCAGAATACAGCTGATGCATTGATTCATAGATTCCAGGGCCAGAAGGGAACACTGTGACCATCCAGTCTGACCACCTGTATAGCATAGGTCATAGGTCACCCCAAAATATTTGCATATCTTTTAGAAAAACAGCCAGAATTGATTTAATAATTTGTAGGTGATGGAGAATCCAACACAACACGTGGTAAGTTTTTCAAATGGTTAATTACTCTCACCGTTAGAAAACATATGCTTTATTTATTGTCTGAATTTGGGTTCTCTCTATTTGAAAAGTGTTTGTATCTTTTAATATTAAAATACAATATTTTCCTTCATGTTCTTTCCTATCAAATACCTCATTGTCATCTTCTTTGGATAACTATCTCATGATGTAAATATCAAAAGCAGTTTTTCAGACAAGTGATTTGACAACCACATGTTTACGTGAAGGGGCTTTCATGTTGTGAAATTATTTTTGCTGAGTTACAGAGACTTTTGTCCTCACTTGCTGTTTACCATTTCAATCCTCTTTATGCAAAATAATACCTTGTCACCACTTAAGTATTAAGTTCTATAAAATCTACTATGAAATTACAGTTGATTGAATTAAGATATCTGACTAAACCACTTTAGTTAATGCGGGCTTTTAGCATTTTTGGTCCTTGGGAAGAGTTGGTAACAATCCCTAGATTAACATTGCATACCATGTTGTCCAACCAGTTCTGATTACTGCTATAGCGAACTAGTCACGCTTACCTAGCCAAATAGCCACATTGTTACATTGTTCAAACCAAACAGTCACACTCAACCAGCCAAATAGCCACATGTGGCTATTGGCTGGTGTGTTGGACACCACGGGCCTAATAGTTTCTATTATAAAATATTCTTGTGACTTTTTTTTAGAGAAATGCTAACGTATCTACTGTTTGCTGCAGGCCTCAGTTATTGCTTTATACTGGGATTTAAACATCCAGATGTATAGAATGAGGCAGTAGTACACATGCTGAAAGGCAGGGACATAGGTGCTTAAAGAAGTTTTGCTGCAAAAATGTAGGTGATGAATGAAATTAGACAGTAGCTGAACAAGGTGTTTGTATTTAGTAGTGGTGCATTTAGGTGCTTAAAGTAGAAACTAGGAAGCTAATTCTCCATGTGAATCTGGCCCCTTTGTAATATTTAAAATACCTTTATTTACTTTCCTACCGAAACTAAGGCTCAAGGAATAAGGGTTTTTGCTAAGCTTTTTATCATAATGCAAAGGCAAACTCATGATTAGGGCAAAAAAAGGAAAATCCATGTACATTTGCTTTTGTGCCTTGTGTTGACCAGGTGGATGTTTTCGTCACTACATGTCCATTGCCTTCCTCCCAATTACAATTGAAGGCGTGGAGACTTAAGCAGGAGTGCTGAAACAATTTATATAGCAAGGTGCTGAAAGTCCTTGAACAGAACTGTAAATTCTATATATCAGAGTTTCCCAGAGTGTGCTCCATGGAGCCTTGGGCCTCCATGCGATTGGTCCAGGGGCTTTGCCAGAAAATATCAATGACAATTGTATAATCCTATTATTTTGTAACTAATTTTCTGGTTGTTTTCTTGGGGGAAAAAAAGAATTTATAAGAAATATACAAGAAATAAAAACAGAATACCAAAACTTTGTCTATTTATTTGAGTATCTATTGACTTAAAAATCACAATACTTAAAGGGTTCCTCCATATTTTCAGGACTCCATAAGGGTTCTTCAGCTGAAAACATTTGGGAAACCCTACTCTATATTATGGAAACCAATTCAAGCTAAGTAGTGCAGAAGCATTCCCAGCAGCACTAATTCCAGCATCTATGGACTTATGATAGTAAACTATTAACCATGAGTGAGATACCCATAGAAAATGATCATAAAGTATGTGACGTCTTTGCTGAATCTAACGTGGAATTTTCTGTAACAATGTCCATATAAACCTGAAAAAGATTCTATCCAGAAAAAATGAACATGATGCAGGACTCATTCAATAGCTCCCGAGTTGTGTGTCACTAATGGGGTCTATCAGTTCTCCTCTCCCTCTGTTGTGGCATGAGAGCCCTAATATTTTCTATCCAAGGAAAATCCACGCAGATTGGGTACCCTACAAGACTGTTCTCCAGAGGCCTAAAAGGGCCACCCAGAAATACTGATGAATTAAGAATGAGCAAGCCAATAAAGAAGGCTGCCTGCTTCTCGCAGGGCAAAGCTGAATGAGACTGGGACAGAAGATGAGCTCATCAGGAACTAAACATTTGCATTTTGAAGGTGTTTTTCCCCTCCTTGGTTAAAGGCTCAGACAGCCAAATCCTGAGTTCCTGTTTATAGTTGCTGTTTTTGTTTAGCTTGTTTTGCTTTTAGTCCCATATAGGTAGCCAAACTTTGCACACCAAAGTGGGGAGCAGCAGCAATACCACAACTTGGAGCTAGAAGTGGGATTTACTTTTTTGTGTAAAGGGGAACCATGGAGATGATCAAACTTCTCCTAGCTCAGCAGCAGCAGGTCCAGGCATATTCCCAGCAGCTTTTCCAGAAGTGCAGAAAGAGACTCAGCAAGCCACCCAATCAACAGCAAGAAAGCTGTAATGGCAGCAACAGTTTTCGGAAGTAATAATTACCAGCTGCTCCCACTCTGAAATGACTCAGCCAGCCCCAGGTATTGTCCTTGCAAATTAGGATCTTCTGCTGATCCTGAGACTTATCTTGTTACAGCTGAGTGAGTAGGCCATGCCACACAGTGGGAGAAAGCCACGTGGGCCACATGACTAGTAGGGATTTTAGCATGTACCCATGTACATGATTTACTG